AGAGAGAGAGAGAGAGAGAGAGAGAGAGAGAGAGAGAGAGAGAGAGAAAAGAAAGAAAGAAATCCAGAAAACAATTCTGTTAGTGAGGGTATAAATGAAACAGCTTCAAAAGGAAATAGTGTGAAGTCAACTTAAATTCAAATAGAAGCATATGTCTCCAACCATTCAGCTTCTGGGGCCGGACTTGTAGTAAAGCAGTTATTGGTCCCACGTGTGCATAGAGGGGCAGGTGCGGCAGGCAACAAGACGTGCTTCTTGTACAACTGAGTATAACACTGGGGGAGGGGGCGAGGAAGGATCCGGTGGCATTTGTAAAAGGATGAACCTGAGGATCCTAGGTAAAGCTGTTGATAAGGGACACATCCTCTGGAGGTGCCCTGTGGTGTGCCTTCACAGAGACAGAAAGTGTAACAGTGGTAGGGAGGGGGAGTTCCAAGATCCTATAGATGTCATAGGTTTGGGAGCAGGTGAGTGGATGGAAAGACTCTGGGGGTGGGCTGGCGGCCATCATGTGACTGTGCTCACCACACATGTATACCCAGAAATAACTACAGGAGCCAAGGAAAGGTTCCACAGGAATGGAAAGATTGGAGACATTTAGGCACAGGTGGGCCTTGAATCATTTCCTTAATTAAGACAACTCCCCCCCCCTCCCCCATCTCTCACCCTCCCCCCCTTCACTCACTCGCTATAGACTGGGTATTGGACCAAGGACTTTGCAACATGCTAACAAAGTGTTCTACAATTGAGGCACATTCTGGCCTGCCTTCTACTTTATGTTGCAACAGGGTCTCACTAAATTGCCCAGGTTGGTCTTAAACTCACTTTATAGTGCAGGTGGGTCTGGAACTTGTGATCCTCCTGCCTTAGCCTCTTGAGTAGTTTGGAATTCCAGGTTCCAACACCAGGCCCAGCATTGAGCATTTCTCTTTTTCTTCCTCCTGCTTTTCTTCCCTTTCCCACTCTCTTGGTTAGTATACTAAGAAATAGGTTGCACTGTTACATATTCTCTCTCTCTCTTTCTCTCTCTCTCTCTCTCTCTCACACACACACACACACACACACACACACACACACACACAGACAGGGACACCTAAGTTCAAGGCCAGATTGGCCTATAAAGCCAGTTCCAGGCCAGCCAGGGCTACACAGATCTCTATCTCAAATACAGACACAGATAAATCAATCTTAAAAGTAAACAGAACCCTGTGAACCTGAGTTAGGATTCCAGAAGCCTCATAAAAAGTCAGGTGTGACTTTGTTTCCTGAACTTCAGGGCTGTAGGGACTTTAGTCAGAGACTCTACTTCAAAGACATAAAGGAGAAAGTGATAGGACAGACATCCGAGTCCTCCTTTGGCCTTTTCAGGCTGGTTTATATACATACACTGCATGCATGCACACACATGCACACATACACTCTGTGTATCTAAGAGTTCACACAGAGAATTGCTTGCTGGGTTGACAGCACCTTCTCAGTGTGCCTTTTCAATCCCAGGCCTCCAAGAAAAGCTTCTCATTCTGCAGGCACTGAGGCCTCTGGAATGCTCTCCTGTGCCACCTTAGTGCAAAAGCATCCAGAGACAATAACAGTTTTTTTTAAAGATTTATTTTATGTGAGTACACTGTAGCTGTCTTCAGATGCACCAGAAGAGTGAGTCAGAGCCCATTCCAGATGGTTGTGAGCCACCATGTGGTTGCTGGGAATTGAACTTGGGACATCTGGAAGAGCAGTTGGTACTCTTAACCAGTGAGCCATCTCTCTATCTCTCCACCCCCTCACCCCCCCCCCCTTGGCAGTCTTGAATGAAACTTTACTACAAAAGCTGGTAGCAAGCCTACTTGGGCCCTTGCCCCTTTGCTATCCCTCTTCGGTCCACCCTGAAGTCAGAACACAAGCAGGAGGGTCAGGCTATGCAGACCTTAGGACAGCAACCAGGACAATGACTCCCTACAGTGTGAACTATCAACACGTGTATCTTTAGCTCAACAAAACAAAGGCATGTATCAGGAAGACGAGGACACTGGTAGGAAGTCTGTGACATGCTTTGTGTTCTGTGGTCATGCCTGGCACTTGGTTATGGTTTTTAGGAACTCTTTGTGGCTTTCTGTGTTGGCACAGGTTTACTTTTTGCATCTATTAATGGTGCATGAAGTTCACCATCAACACTTCAATGGATTTCTTTTGGTAAAGCCATTGCCCCCTGGTATGTCCGTGTATGTGTGTGTGTGTGTTCTGTGTGTACATGTATACATGTACATGCCTGCTCATGTGTGCAGGTGTGTGTGTTCTGTGCATGTGTATATACATGTGTGTCTGTGTAATGTTCAGGTGAGCTGCTCTGTGACTATCTTATTCCCCTGATAAAATATTCTCCCCTAGATCTGCAGTTATGCTGGCAGCCATCCTCCTGACTCAGCTCCCTGGGGAACACCAGCATTGTAGCTTTTTACTTGGGTGTTGGTGATTCAAACTTAGGGCCTCATGCCTGTGCAGCAGGTACTCGTATCTATGTAACCATCTCCCCAGTCTCTGTCTTATTTTTCAAAAGAGAATTTTGAAAACTCTAGAAATGGCCAAGACAGATCCCCAAGGAGCCATTTGGTGCCCATGAAAGGCGTCGCCAGCCTCGAGGCAGTGGCCACATTTCGAGAGATACACTGGGGTTGAGCAGGGGTGGTTGGTAGAGTGTGCTGGGCCAGAGAGGCAGAAGAGCACCAGACATCCCTGAGGAACAAGATCTAGGTGCTGGAGACAAGGCTATGATTAGGACTATTGATCATTGCAGGAAACAAGCTAGTCCCCAGGCATGGCTGACAGCACTCTGCTCCTAATGTACCCCTCTCTATTCCCTTCAGCTTGAAATCTGTATAACTATCCACTTGTGTCAGGTAATCAGATTCCCCCAGGAGATTATTTCCTTCTCTCCCTCAAATTTGAACTATCTACCCATATGTGAAGATTTCACTCAGTGAGCACAGACTGAGGATCAGACACCATGGTCTGAAGAGTATTGGAACATTTCCAGGCAAGTGTTTAAATCTCAAAGTAAAAGCTGCAGCAGGTATCAAATACTTTTCATTCTATCCCACCTCAGGGAGGTTCTTATCTCCAACACCCCCCAAATCTAGCCCTTAGTCCGTTTTTAGTGGAGGGTTGGGGTGTGTGGTATGACAAAACTTTTCTTGGGGAGATGAGACGAACTCAAGTAACCAGCACAGATTGGAAACCCACAGCAGACCAAAGTATGCACACCACTGAAGCCCAACTTGGTGAACCGATGAATACAGGAATATGGGTGAGGGGTCACTCACAGGAGCAGAAATGACTCAGTCAGCTGCCACCACCAAAGCCCACCACAGCATTGGTGACGCACAGCTCACAACAGCTGGGACCTTGAATCACAGTGCCCAGCCTACAGGTAGCAGCTAACAGGTTGCCCTTTCCAAGTTCCTCGATTGGTCTAAAGTTCTTTAAAGGCATCTTGGCTGGTTTCTGCGGCTTCTGGGTTCTTTTGTCTGAGTCTTTGGGGCTTGACTCTGCTTCTTCTAGCAGGGAAGGGGCAAGTGATTCTGGTCAGTTTCAGGGAGTTCTTGAAGCTACTTTTTTTGTTATTTCCCTGCTTCAGGAAGTGGCTGTTACACAACAGAGGAAAAAAGGGAGAGAAGGGAGGGGGAGGGAGAGGGGGAGAGAGGGAGGGAGGGGGAAGAGAAAGAGAATGCACATGGGTGCACTTCTGCCTACTGGGGTAGGTGTGAAAGCTTCCCTCTGACTACAGAATCCAGAGACCAGGTCCCCTTTTGCCCCTTGTCCCTTCCTGCTGCCTCAAGTCTGAATGGGTCACTAGAGCTGACTAGATTTGCCTTTTCAGGATCTTGATGGCTGTTCCCTCTCCTACAGGTTGGAGAGTCCCCTAACTGGGGACTAACTGCATCTTCTCTTGCCCACTTTGTGCCTCTGGCCCTGACCTTATAGATGGCCTGTCTTAAGGACCCCTCCTCCCTTCAAACTCCTCCACCTGGGCTTCTAGTGCTGAGTGTGGCAGGAGATTTGTCCCTTTTTTATCTCAGGAGGTCTAGAGGTGCCTCTGGAGGATGTACGGATAGGGACTCTATGCTCTGTGGGCCTCTGAGCTAACACTGGCAAGAAGTTTACCTGGTGCTGGGTAGAGGACACTTGAAGGCACAGTGGGATATCTACAGAGAGCATCTGGTGTGCTTTTCAGTTCCTTGGCTTCTAGAAGCTCACCCCAAGCCCCTCCCACCCCAGCTTGTTTTTAACAAATTAAACTTTACTGCTTTTACTTAAGATTCTGTGCAGAGCTGTTCTGTGTTTATCCAGGGTCTAGTGCAGAAAGCAGAAGCTGGTCCCCAAACATTACAGGAGCATTTGTGACCTCTTCAGGACATTTCCACAGTGGGAGGAGTGGTTACTGCTCCATTTCAGCAGCAGGGTACCTGGGGGAAGGTTGCCAGGGAGTCAGCAGAACTGAGGGACCAACCAAGGTAGATGAGCAGGTGACAGGAGCATGGGAAGGGGCAGCCTCTGGCCGGAGTTTTCTTCTTGGAGTCCAGTGTGGAGGATAAAGGACATGACTAGCAAACAGAGTGAATAGAAGTACCAACATCTCCCCTGTGGGCCCAGGCCTGGGCAAGGGAGACAGGAGCTGTTAGGACCTGGGGAGAGAAGAGAAGGCAGGGTCAGAGGGACAGTCAAGGAACAGGCAGTGGGGCTGCTGGGTGGGTGGTTAGTCAGCTCCTGATGCTGAACCTCCTTATCTCATGCCTGGGTCAGGGCCAAACCCCAACACCATGAAGGGAGTGGGTAAGAAAAGATGGAGAACCTTCTTCAGTGTTATCTGTGGATCCCCAGCTGAGTTGGTGGGATGGCTCTGCCATCATCTGTTAGTAGACAACTGATGGTGAACAAGGGTCACCTCGGGGACTCTGCAAACATGGATGTAGCTGGAGCTCCTAAGGTGGTAAGGGAGAGACACACACACTTCTGGGAAGCCTATCCTACCCTAGGCACTCTTTGAAGACAGCTGTTGGGGAGGGGCTGTCATGGCTTTCATAGAGAAGGGCCCTCCTTCCTCCTGATGGAGCTCTGGGGTGCTCACCATGTCTCAGGTTATTCATTGGAGTCCATCAGTTCAAGTAACATGTCCTCCACGTCTCTGAACTGAGGGTGGAGAAGGAGAGAGACAAGGGAGTAGTCAGACCAGCCCTGAGGATTCCTCTTTCATTCTGGCTCAGTGTTCCTCAGCCTGGGTTAGTACTGGGGCCTGAGGTGAGGTGGCTAGCCCTCTCAACTGGTCTCAGTCAGTGACTACCATAGAGGGTTCCTTGTGCCAAGGTGTTTGGCTAAGACCTCAGATGATAGCTTCTTCTATCTCTCTAACCCTTAAAAAAAAATCTGCAGTTAGTTCCCCTTCCATTAGCTTCTGGTGCCAGGGTGGAGGGAATATAGAGCTAGCCCATACTAAGACCAGAGACCAGGATCTCCCAAGATTACCCACTGAGTCCCTGGGGTAAGCTGTGCTTGCCTTGATGTGGTACAGTATCTGCCAGAACGTGGAATTACAGCTTCGGTACCTTCCCTCAGGGTACAGTTGCCACATTAAAGGCAGCTCGTAAGACACCAGCTGACTGGAGGTCATAGCAGCCCCCAAGGTGACATCTTCCTGGCGCATGATCACCTGGAATTTTCTATCACTCTGCAGAGGAAGAACAAAACACAACCTTTGCCTCCAGACCACTGTCAGGCTCCTCCGAGCACAACCACCAGCGTCCATTCTGTCACTCAGGAGCCTGGGGCTGACCCAACAGCCTGAGCACAGAGACTACCCCTGGAGCCAACTCCACAGGCTGTGCACAATCTCAGGGACTCTGGCTGGGCCAGGGTCTAATCATCCTTCAGGGTGCGCTTTTTTTCCTGCCAACCTGTTGCTAGGGTAAGCCATGCAGCCCTCCAGCTTGGTCCCAAGTGTGCATGTGGGAGGGTTATCCACTCAGAGCAGAGAGAACAACCTTGGGTGTCATTTCTTAGACATTATCTACTTTTTTTTTCATTTATTTACTTATTTGAGACAACATCTCTTTATTGGCTTGGGGGTTCACCAAAAAACAACACCCCTCCAAACAAAACAACAATAAAAAACAAACAAAAACAAAACCCAAACCAAACCAAACAAACAAAACATGGCTGGTTTGGCTGGTAAGTGAGCTCCAGAGCAAGTGTAGCTGCTTGCTGAGTGAGGCCTCCCTAGTTACGTCTACCACACTAGCTTTCTCAACTTGAACTTCGGGGATTGATCTTGAGACCTTATACTTATAAGACAAACACTTTACCAAACTTATCCAGCCTTGTCAGGGATCGTTCTGTGTACTGTCCTCTTTTAATTGATGTTATGTATCCCTGGACTGGCTGTGGGAACTGTAAATGAAAGGCACTGTCTTTTCTATCAAAGGGTTAAATGAGGCATCCCCTTTAAAGAGGTTGACACGAGGCCCGCCCTCGGGAAAAAATCCCTCTTACAGCCGGAACTTTTCTAAGATCTAAGTAGGAGTCAAGGTTGCAATCTGTTTCCAGAGTTGTGCTTCATGCTTCTCAAGAATGCAGCTTTGAGTCATTCAACCCCCGAAAGCATGTGAGGCTCAACTCTTGACCAATGGGTGTAGGACTCAGGACCCCTCTGGCACAGCGACTAGACCTGCTGAAGGAAAACTTTATGTCTTGCTGAAATGCTTTGGATTGTGTGATCATTTTCTTGAGACACCCCTGCCCCCATTTCTAACACTTAGAATCTGGTGACAGGCAGCATTTCTCCATCATGGGCATGGCTCATCTGGGCTATGGTAACTGTCTCCTCAGTTACTGTCTTCAGATGCCAGGGATATGAAAGTCGTGGCTGAAATGAGCTGTAGCCATGATGGAAGTAACTGAGATGGAGACAACTCCATGTTATTCCTGCAAGGAGAGAAGCTCTGGGCTCACCTGTGAGCAGTTCCAGGAGCTAGAAAGCACTTCGAGACAGACCCCAACCCTGAGGAGGAGACTCTGGAGACCTTGGCTGAAGCAATCAAACAGACAAAAGGATGCATCAGGTACTGGTTCTCCAAGAAGAGGCGTGAGATGATACGCAAGTGGTTGTCTAAAGCCCACCAGAACTGGAAAATGTGCTGTCGCCACTGTACATCAAGAGGGACTACCAGGCAGAACCCCAAGGAGTCTGCTCAAAATAACCCATTCCCTGAAGCTTTGGAAGCCTTGAAGAGTCTCAGACTCTCTTCTGGGTACCAAAGCAGAGATGGCATGTAATAGGATTTCTGACTTTTCAACTTCCTTGTTGGGGCAGGGGGCTGTTGGGATTTATGTCTATGAGAGGTACATTAAATAATAAAGCTTGCATTCTTAGAAACTAAAAAAATGAAAGAAAGTCATACCTGCTAGACTCCTGACACCTTCTCATGGACAGAGGGAGTCTAAGGCCCACAGAAATCCACAAAGCCTACACAAGAGCGTCTCTGCTTCCCTCCCCTGTTCTGTCTCACCATATCATTTTTGCCTGCCTGGAACTTGCTCTATAGACCAAGCTGGCCTCAGACTTACAGAGCTCCACCTGTCTCTGCCTCCCAAGTGCTGAAATAAAGAGAAAATACCACATAGGCACGGATATGCTACAGCGTGCAGAGTCAGTTCTTGTCCATCATGTACGTCCTGGGAATCAAACTCAGGTCATCAGGCTTGGTGGCAAGCACCTCCGCAGCCACCTCACCAGCTCCTGAAAATGAGTTTCATCCACCAATTTAGGATGGAAACACCAAAACAAAAAATTCACTGCCTAAACACACAAAACAACCCTCCCCCATACAAGCAAAGCCTACAAGATAGCCCGGGTAAGACCTGGTGGGGCCAAGTGGCACAGGCTTGCAGTGCGTACTACTGAGTAAGCCGAGGCAAGAGGATCCTAAGTTCAAAGCCTACCTGGGATACAAAGGGAGATTAAGGTCAACCTAAGTAGCTAAGACCAAGTCTCCAAACTGAAAGACACGTACCCAGGCTGAGGCTCTGCAGTAGAGTCCCAGACTGTTATGCACAGAGCCCTGGGTTTGCTCCTCAGTAGTACAGGGGAAGAGAACGCAATTTGAAACTCCAAACATGACAACTCAAAATATGACGTGCAACCACAAACTCTGAATTTACAGTGTGCCCACCTGCCTCCCCACAGTACACTATAGCACAACTCTCCCTCCCCCCCATGTCTACTTCTTTTCCCACAGGCTACCCTGTTTCCGACTGCATCACCTTCCCAAGAAGAGGGCTCCTACCACAAGCCCTGCAAGCCCTCAGCGCAGACCCCTGCTTGGCCTTTACACTAATCACTCACACGTGTTTAACGAATGTGTTTTTCCTCAGGGTGAGAACAGACCTGTGAAATGATCTGCTGACAAGATCAGTTGAATCTGTTAAGTCAGATTGTGGCACCAGGTGTGTAATGCGCCACCATTCACAGCGCATGAGTCAACAATCTAACTGCTGCTAAAAATTATTCTTTTTCCTTATTAATGCGAGTGAGCGCTTACATGTTTAAAACCTGGCTTCTTCAGTCATGGGAAATAAACCCTGCCTTGTAGTTTGCTACCAAGCTCCTGTTGAGACAGCATCTATCACAGATCTGGAATAGTCTCTGGCTCATGGTGTGGGTGAAAAGCTAGTTGTTAACCTGATATTAAAAAGAAATCTCCACCCATGTTGTCTTCACACATCTGACTTAACGTTTAAAAAAAAACAACTAGATATATGTAAACTTAGCATTGTAAAATGACAACAAGAATGTAGATTTAGGAGCCCAGAATTGTGGCTCCACTGGCACCCTAAGTCTGCGAGGCTCACAAGCCCCAACTTTGCGGGAGCGGAGACATTTCCCAGGTCCTAGTGTATCATAAAATGTCTCAGCAGTTTAGTTTTCTTTATAGCTTTCCTTGGCTTTACAAGTGGGACGCTTTTTAATAATTTCTGCCGGAATGTACCTCTAGAAGAGATTTCTTTTGAAAACACCAACATTCATTAAGCCCCATGCCAAGGCTTCCACGCACAAAACAAAGTTGAATCTTATTACAGACTGAAGTGGATACTACTAGCTACCTTAAAGATATTCCAATTTTATGGTTTAGGAAAGCCTTGTTTCACCCCAAATGATAGTCACACACTCCAGGCAATGCGTGAGAGGGGCTTGTCTATTGAGCTTGGGGTGCTCCCACCCTTCTCCGGGTCCACAAGACCTCCCTCAAACGACACGGGACCCTCTGTACCCTGGTCTCCTGCTGCCAGGGCTCCCAGGCCTAGACAAGGCACATCCCTGCTGCCCCACCTGCTAGCTCCAAGGCGGTTGGTACCTCGATGACTATGGGCAGCCAGCTTCGACGAAATTCATCCAAGTACACGTGCTTCTCCCAGATCCACAGGCGGTCGGGGTGTGGGGGTCTTTCTGGCCTGTATGCCGGCTGGGTAGCCATGGCATCTGGTCCGAGCAAGAAGCAGAAAATTGCAACGCCAGTCAGAAAATTGCAACGCCAGTCCGTGATAAAGCTACTTTAAGTGGTGGGGGTGGGGGTGGGGAAATGAGAAACTCAGCTATTTATCACCACCAGCCGTGAGCCTGTGCCCCCTGGAGCGAGGCGGGGTGGGGCAGAGTAGTGTGGGTGGGGCGAACCACAAAGATGGTATGTGGGACGTTGAGGTGGACTTCTGGGACCCCTGTTCCAGGGGTCTAGGCTTGCAGACCCGACCCCATCAAACCTAGGGTTCTTCAAGGCCCCCAGGAGCTCTTGCTTTTCTCCATGTACACCCAGCCACAGGAAAGGTACCCAGGTCTGTCAGGAAACACTGCCCTATGCTTCCTTTATGGTAAGACCTCAAGGTCCTAGTCAGTTACTTTTTGTGACTCTCAAGCCACACCCGATGGCGGGCCACCTAGATCGAGGTCTATCTGCATATCTTCTGGGAAGGAATCAGAAACCATCTAGGTTCTCTTTGTCATCTTCAGCCAGTCCTTTTGGGTGTCAGAGGCAGTTTCCTTTGCAAAGTCCAGTCTCCTCCCTCTTCCGCACATGACTTTTTCCAGGGCTCTGATGAGGCTGAGGTCTTCTAATAGGCCTTGCAAAACCTACTCTTGAGAACATGGGTTTACTGTCTTTGTGCTCCAACTTAGTGAATGCATCATTCCAGACGCATGCTTAAAAAGAAATTCTCCCTACACCCAAGATCAATGGATTTGGAAAGTCTCTCAGTTGCTCAATCAAAACTGTCTCATTGTAAACAAATAAGGAAAACCAGCTTCTCTTTCTTTTACAGTAATGAATGTTCATTAAGGCAATTAAGAAATTAATGGAAAACATGTAAAACCCAGCTCCGGGTTGGCTGCTTCAAACAACCCTGCAGCTAGCACTTCTGAGCTTCACCTCCAGTTCTTTCCCCTCTTGCTGAGGCTCATGGAGGAAGCCATTTGTGGTCTTTGGAAGGTCAATGGATGATCAGGTGTGGAAATATGGTCAAATATCCCAGATGTGCCTGTAAGGGTAAAAATTAAAACAGCTCAGGAGAGACCACAAACAACTTGGCAAAGACCGCAGGACAGCTTGCTGAGCTTACTGAGAGTAGCCATAATAAAAATATCAAGCCCCTCTAGGGACGAGGTGACCAGAAATGTAGAAACAACCAAAGACATATCTTGACCAGTCTAAACATGCCCAAGTGAGTAATGGGCCACCTGGTGTTTATCCTAGAAGGTCTGAGGCTTCATGGTCAGAAATAGTGGGCCATCCAACCTGTCAAAATGATTGCTTACGCAAAGTGCTGATGTTTGAAATATCCAATCATATGTAACCGTGCCAGAATTTCCCACTTTTCCCTTCCCCCTTGTCCCTCCCCCTATAAAAGTTCTAAACTTCCTGGGGTCTTCATCGAAATTCTCTCCCCTGCGTGGGATGAGTTTCGATCCAAGGGCCCTTGTTAGTAAACTGCCTTTTGCCATTGCATCAAGTCAGTCTCTCGTGTCTCCTTGGGTGCGCGCTAATTGGGACTTGAGTTGGGGTCCTCTTCCTGGGTCCTTACAGTGCCAAGATGGCCTGAGGTCAGCCAGGTGTGTTTGGATTAACCAGGAAAAGAAATAAAGAAAAGACTCAAGTCCGGCGAGTGCAGCTCTGAGGAACCTTGGCCTTCAGTATTCAGACTGGAGGCTTCCGGCTGATTTCCCTGTAGATGGCTCTTTGTCTCCAGACCCAGATAGCTGCATAGAAAGATGAAGACTTTTGGAATTGTAGAGTGAAAAATTATAGATGCTGGGTATATAGAATTCTTTTTAGACATATAAATTATTCTTTAGGCTTTCTTTATAAAGACATGGAGAAACTGAGCCATGAATCAAGTTAGGAATGTGGAAAGACCAGTCACCATTACTGGAACTGGCCTATCTGCAAAGAGAAAGGAAAGAATGCAAGTGAACTAGGTGGAACCAAGCTGGGAACCAAGCTGAGAACCGCAGTGACAGGGCAAGGCCACAGTGACAGGGCAGGACCACATTCTTGAGAAAGATAAGCGTACAGAGAGTTTTCACCTGATCCTGACTCATGTAGGTTGGGTTCCTTTGGAATGTTCTGCTATTTTTATGTTATACCACCTTAACAACCATGAGCCCCCTCCCCATTCCTTGGTTTGTGTTTTTTTTCCCTTAAAAACCCCTCTCAAACTGGCTGTCGGGGTCAATTCAGCTCCTGAGTGGGCATACGAATTGACCGGCAGCTAGTTGTCACGCCCTAATAAATCTCGCAATTGCTCCGGTACATGGTGTCTCGAGCAGATTACTGGGTGGTCGCGACTTTCTGAGATTTGAGTGAGGGTCTCCCCTCTGCGGAGGTCTTCAGAATAAGCTTGGTGTGGAAGTTCTGGGTGATTGCAGCCTTAGCAGTAAGATAATTACTAATTTTTAATTCATTATGCTGTGTTTGTATTTGGGGGTACCTGCCATGTAGGGCTTGTGGGGGTCAGAGAACAACATTGTGGAGTCAGTCATCTTCCCACCATGGAAGTCCTTGGGATTGAACTCAGGTTGTCCTAGGCTTGGTGGCAAACACTTCCACTCACAGAGCCTTCTCACTGGCCCACAAATCCAGTTTAAATTGTGCTGGGGGTATAGCTTTTGTGACAAGGGGGAGAGTCCCCCAGTAGCCAGGGTGTCCCAATTCAGGCACAGGCATGGCCCCAGGAGGCAGAATGTCACCAAATCTGTTGATTTCCTTCCTACACTCTCTGCTTTCCTATGTGGTGTTAGGAAAGGCAGTATCCATTTGCTAGACGAGGGTTCTAGGATTACGGTCCCTTTTCTCCTTACTCTGAAAAATATTTCTGTAAATTTGCACAAGAGGTTTTTGGTACTGAGCAAGAGTAGACTCCATTCTTGGGTGGTGATGTTTCATTCAGAAAGGTTCCAGAGGAAACAGGCTCCTGAATGGGTCAGGTGAACACTTTGATACTTTTAAAATGTAAATTCCTCAACCCAGGTGGGGGGGGGGGAAGGAGACGGAGAACAATAGCTTTGTGAGTCTCAAGTGAGGAGCCCTCCAGGCTAGTTATCCTCTGCTATCTCAAGGCTCCAGGCCTGTCAGCCAGTTTTAGAATTTTCTGTTCCCTTTTGAATCTTTCTTTTGTTTGTCCTTGAGTTCCCACGTGTTTTTTTTTGTTTGTTTGTTTTTACCGGGACAGGGTTTCTCTGTATAGCCCTGGCTGTCCTGGAACTCACTCTGTAGACCAGGCTGGCCTTGAACTCAGAAATCTGCCTGCCTCTGCCTCCCAATTGCTGGGATTAAAGGCGTGCGCCACCACTGCCCA